TTAACTGGGCATGTATATTTCTAGGCTTTCATAGTTTTGGCCTGTATATTCATAATGATACCATGAGCACTTTGGGGCGTCCTCAAGATATGTTTTCAGATACCGCTATACAATTACAACCCATCTTTGCTCAATGGATACAAAACACTCATGCTTTAGCACCTGGTGCAACAACAAGCACCAGTTTGACTTGGGGAGGTGGTAATTTAGTAGCAGTAGGTGGAAAAGTAGCTTTGTTACCTATTCTACTAGGAACCGCCTATTTTTTGGTACGCCACATTCATGCATTTACGATCCATGTGATTGTATAGATAGTACTGAAAGACGTTCTATTTGCTCGTAGCTCCCGTTTGATACCTGATAAAGCAAATCTGCGTTTTTTTTTCCCTTGTGATGGACTCGGAAGAGGGGGAACATGTCAAGCATCTGCCTGTGATCATGTCTTCTTAGGTCTATTCTGGATGTGCAATGAGATTTCGGTAGTAATATTCCATTTCAGTTGGAAAATGCAGTCGGATGTTTGGGGTAGTACAAGCAATCAAGGGGTGGTATCTCATATCACGGGAGGTAACTTTGCACAGAGTTCCATTACTATTAACGGATGGCTCCGGGATTTTCTATGGGCACAGGCCTCTCAAGTGATCCAGTCTTATGGTTCTTCATTATCCGCATATGGCCTATTTTTCCTAGGTGCTCATTTTGTTTGGGCCTTCAGTTTAATGTTTCTATTCAACGGCCGTTGTTATTGGCAAGAACTTATTGAATCCATCATTTGGGCTCATAACAAATTAAAAGTTGCTCCTGCTACTCAGCCTAGAGCCTTGAGCATTGTCAAAGGACGTGTTGTAGGAGTAAGCCATTACCTTCTGGGTGGAATTGCCACAACATGGGCATTCTTCTTAGCAAGAATTACTGCAGTAGGATAATGGCTATGAGGATTTGAAAGGCATTATGGCATTAAGATTTCCAATGTTTAGCCAAGGCTTAGCTCAGGACCCCACTACTTGTCGTATTTGGTTTGGTATTGCCACCGCACAAGACTTTGAAAGTCATGATGATATCACTGAGGAAGGTCTTTATCAGAATATTTTTGTTTCTCACTTCGAGCAGTTAGCAATAATCAGTGCCGCTCAAAAGAAAACCTCCGCGCAAGAAAACCTCCGCCCCAGTGCCGCGCAAAAGAAAACATCCACTTGAAAGAGCCGAGCAAAAAAAACCTTCCAGTTCCAATTTCAGTTGGTGCCAGTTTGGCAAGTTGGGCACTTCGCTTCACCTGTGCACCAACTTGAAGGGGAGTATTGAAGATATACCAAATCAAATTGCTTGGTTAAGTTGGTTATTGGTGATAAGCCTCAATATTTTCTTTTATCTATTTTCCTTTATCTCCAATATTCATTGAGATTATCCTCTATGTATAGAGGCACGTATTTGTGTAATTTTTTATTCAAAAATAGTGAAGATGTAGCTAATTTTGTATTATCTGTTTTCTCTTCACGATAACATAGCAAAAAAAAACCTCCGCTCAAGCTTTAACAAAACCTGATTTTCTTAAAGATCGTAGCATAATAAGAGCAAAAGAAAACCTCCACTTAAACTTTAACAAAACCATTTGATTTTCTTAAAGATCGGAGCATATTCACAAAGTTTTGAACATCAGCTCAATTTACTAATCATCTTCTTCTTTCTTTACTGATTATAGATCTCATGTGATTAAAACTCTTTCAGCGCAAGCTAGTTTGAGCAAAGTTCAACGTTGAAAGTTAGGTGTCGTGGTCTTGGCAAGCGCTGAGCCTGTGCCAAGCCCAAGCACCATGGGTGAGTCCAAGTTGACTCGCCAATTTCCCTTAAAAATCCCATCCTTATTTTTCACAAGAGCAATATTTATTATATAAAAAGAGAAAGAAAACAAACAATTAAGGAGAAGCTTCCTTCCTGATTTTTGCCTGTGAGGTCAAATCACCTATTATGAAGAAATAATTTTTGGCCGTATAGTTTTTGACCCAATCCAAGTATATAATGTGAGGAAAATCATAATATTCTTTGATTGGGATAATAAATGAAAAATCTTTTCTCTCTCTAGAGTGTTTGTTTGATAAATTTCCCTTAAACAGGATACACGTCTTGAGTACCTAGGCACGTTTGGGAGCAATCCTGGGACATAATTAGATTGTGTTGAAACGTCTTTAACTTTTGGAAGAAGGGGAAAATTTGGAAAGCAACCCTCCCTAAAACTTCTAGCTCATGATTAATGTCCTTGATGGAAGTTTTGAAACTGAATAGAGGCCTTTTAATTAAATTAAAAGATGGTAAGATGTTAAATAGTTAATCTCATGGTTCTTTTGATAAATATCTCTTGAAAAAGTAAGTAACATATCCATGTAATTTAGATGTTTTTGACTGATCTCTCTGCATTTTGTTCTCGTTAGATTTCTATATATTTGGGTCATTAGTGTAATCCTGGAAATGGACCCAAATCTGGCCCAGGACTCGCGGGTATTTCAAAATGGGTCCAGGTAGGGGTTTAATCCTTGGACCCGCATGTAAGGTAAGGGTTTTTCATAATGAACCCGAAGATTTTCTCACCCTTACCTTTTTTTTTTTTATAGCAAACCCCCTCACATCATTTCTTTAAATCTTTGGATGTGGGAGTAAAAGATTTTCCCTTATCTCTAGTGGCTAGTGGTGTGTATTCAGTTTTGGGGAACTTGAGAGAGATAAACTTGTGGGTTTTCCTTTTGTAGACCTGCAAACATCTTGGGCTTTTTTTCCAACTTGCATTTAGAGAGGGAGAGAGAGTGAGTGTTATTTCCTTCGAGAGTGCAACATGGAGATCTTAGGAGAGAGAGCTCAAAGCATAATTTATTTTCTCTAACCCCCAAATGGAGGCAATCCTAGTTTTGACCCCCATGACTCTTTCTTACCAGCCTCATTCTCTTTCACGCTCACAACTAACCCAATGTATCTCTAAAACATCTGTTTAAAAATTTTAGAAAAAATTACAAAAAATCCTTAAGACTACAATTACTATGCAACTTACTCCCAACCTAACTTATTCTTGCACTTGTTTTTCCAAAGAATACTTTCTATGTAAATACCCCTCAACCAAAAAAAAAATTGAAAAATACCTAAACTACCCACCCATTAACTTTACCCTCCCATTGACTTAATTTTTTAACCAAATTTTCTCTCTCTTTCTCGCACTTTTTTAACCTCAGTTTCCCTCTCTCTCTCTCTCTCTCTCGCTCTAACTCTCGGCCTGAGGTTCTTCCCTCTCTCTCGCTGTCTCTCCTGGCCCGACCTCCTTCCCTCTCTCTCGCTCTCTCTCTCGGCTCGAGCTCTCTCCCGGCTCGAGCTCTCTCCCTCTCCCGGCTCGAGCTCTCTCCCTCTCCCTCTTCAAAAGACTGAAGGCCCACCCTCTCCCTCTCCCTCTTTGAGCTATCAATTTCTTCGCCCTAGCCGAAACCCCAAAGCCCAAGTTCGAATTTTAGCCCAATCTCTCAGCCCCATTAAATGTATGAAAGAGTTTTTTAACTATTTCTTATTAAATAAATATATTACAGATTTATGGAAGAAAATCGCTAAAATCTGTTGTAGGGTTATTGTTTGATTAAATTTGTTTATTTGATCCATCATTGACAATGAAGTGATGGATTGCTTGTTGCTTAAGAATTATTAACGTTTTTTTATGAATTTGTTATAGAGTTTGGCTTTTTTTCTCTATAGTCATTTTAGGGCTAGAATGTTCTAGGAAATTTTGAGTGTTTTTTAGATTGAAAATCATTCAATCATTTGATCTAAATTGATTACTCATGGCTTAAGAATTATTGAAGTTTTTATTTTGAATTTGTTATGGAGTTTGGTTTTTTTTCTCTATTTTCTATTGTCATATTAGGGCTAGAATGTTCTTCGTGGTAGGAAATTTTGGGTTTTTTTTATATTGAAAATCATTCAGTCATTTGATCTCAATTGATGGCTCATGGCTTAAGAATTATTGTAAGTGCTATAGAGTTTGTCATTTTTTCTCTATTGTGATTTTAGGGCTTCAATGTTATTAGCTGTAATAAATTCTGGGTTTGTTTTGTTGTATATGTTTTCTCTTGGTTATCTTTGCATCAATTGTTTTTTATTTGATGATCCATCATCTTTCTCTTGTTCAAATTTAGTTTGTCATTAAGAAAAAAATGCCTAGCTCTTGTTAATTTTAGTAGTAGCTCTTTAAAAAAAAAAAACCCAAAAAATAGACTTTAGTATGGTCTATATTGCTAGTTGTATATATTGTGCTTATCTATATTTTTTGATGGAACTATAGCTTAGAGAAATAGTATTGCTTAGCTATAGCTTAGAGAAATAGTATTGTTTATATACTAGAAATTTAGGATGAGATTTTTCTCCAATTTGAAATGCATTCGAATGCACTTCTACAAAGTCATTTAGTTTTGTTTCATTTCGCAAAAGATGGGCATTGTGCTAGTTTAACTTGGATACGAACTAGTTTTTACTTTGTAGAAATATTGAATTGCATGTTCATCTTAAAAGTTGGGTCGTCTTTTGAGGCTCTTTATTTCAAGACTATGTTCCATAATTTACTAAAAAATCCAGATATTAATAGGGTAAAATCATTAAGATTGCAGTATTTAGATAATCATTGTTAGAAATGTTTTTGTAGTTTATGTACCCCCCAATAATATGCCTACCTACCTCTCGTTAAAATTTAGTTGTAGCTCTTTTAAAAAGCTATAGATTGAGCCTACCAAACTTGCGCAAGTTCAATTCGTGAAGTGTAAATTTTTACAAATCTTGTTCAGGACAAAAGAAAATGAATGATAGCAAATTGATTTATTGTATTTTTGGTAGAGAACTCCAATCAAATGTCAATGGGACTTTAGATTATATTGGTGGTGATGCATGTACATTTATGATTGACAATAGAACTAGGTTAGATGGCCTGCGAAAATACGTAGTAGAGCATTTCAAACTAAACATGCACTTGATAACATTGAGGTATTTTGTCTCGACAAATAGAAGATTTATTGTGAATCTATTCATTAATGATGATATTGAGAGGATGTTGAATGCACATGAAGGCGAGAATAATGTGTTCGTCTATGTATTTGATGGGAGTGGACAAAGGGGTGGAAGTACGTCGCGTAATACTAGCGTAATCGAAGAGGTCAGACCACCCCAATCCTCAAATGTTTTGGTCTCTGGTTTCGAACAAAGTAATGCATCAAGGTTGCTTAGCAGTGTTTGTTCCATTTGTATTCATTTCATACTATTGGTGCACATATATTTATGATTGATTCTATTTTTTTTTTTAATTGGATATGCCACTTTTCTCTCTATTTCTTTATTGGATACGCTACTTGTGGTTTTTTTTTTATGCCAATTATGAAAATAGTATTAGCAATGCAAGACCGGAACAACCAAGAGGCACAGGGGAGCCATCCACTTCATCGGGTCAGAGGCAAGAGGTATGATGGTCCATTTGTTTTTACTTAATGATTTACATTAATTAAGTATTTCTCATATTATTTACTATTATCATTTCTTAATAAGTTTAATTTTAAGAGATAAATATACTTCGTATCAACAAATCAACTCAAACCCTAGCAAAATGGAAGCTCTATCAACGACAGGTAGCTCTTATTCAAAAGACCGAATTGAGTCCATTGGTGGATATTGGGGTCTCGCATATCGATTACAATCTACTGAGGGCATTTATAGGGAAAGGGTACAAGGTCACAAATACTACATGTCTAACCATTGGTGAAATGGCTCCAACCCTATACGATGTGTGGCAGTGTAGACACCTCATTTTTTTAAAAACCGGCAAATTCCATGATTTTCCTAACTTTAGATAACCCATAGGACCCACTATTTCAGTAGACCCCTAAACTATAGACCACATTAATCCATGGTCCCCATCTTAGCAAATCTTGTAGTGTTGAGACTGTTTCAGTAGACACCTAAACCATGGACCACTGTAATCCATGGTCCCCATCTTAGCAAATTTTGTAGTGTTTAGAAGTTACCCATTTTACATCTAGCAAATCCCAAGCTTTCAGTAGTTCTCCATTTACATCTAGCAAATCCCCAGCTTTTAGTAGTTATCCATTTTGCACTTAGCAAATCCTATATTTTTTTAGTAGTTATCGATTCCACACCCATGGTTTTAGTAGCTATCCATTCTACACTTAGCATATCCCATAGTTTTTATTCTACACCCCTATTAGGTGTTTAAGAGAAAAAACTAGCGTGCCTAAGAAGGGGTGGGACGTGTAGACCAAAAAAACGGGGGGACGTGTAGGCCAAGGGAGGAAGAGCTAGGACGTGGGAGGCTAGAAGTTAGAGAGAGAGAGTCAAGAGAAAGAAAAACTTAGACCTAGGCAAACCCTGGTTTTAAGACACCCTTAGATCAAGAAAGTCATTCAACCAAGCCAAGACTTAGTCAAAACTTGAATAGAGAGACAGATGACGCACAACATAAACTTAGCCCGTCCTAATATGGGCGAAGCCTGGAAACCTTGGAAGTCTCAGGCCAACTGGCCCTGTCTGATATTTCTTTCACCTTTTTGCATTTCTTTTCTATATTTTTTATTTTTATTAAATTAAATCTATTTTATTGTATTTTATTTCCTTTTTTGTATTGCAGATCGATGCTCACTCTGCCACTGATCTGAGAGCAAATCTGCTTATTTCTTTGCGGATCGGACCTCAGATTAGAATTCGATTGTTCCCACTATCTCTATTACTTTTTCAAAATGAGTTTGTAGTGTTCAGATCTGAGGGATCTGCTTCTGGAGATCTCTTCGATTTTGCATCGTAAACAGTTTGACACCCACCATTCAAAATAAAAAAAAAAAAGTCTCCTTTCGAGGGCCATGTTTTGATTAAAAAAAAAATTTGCTTGATTATCTTGTTGGCATCGTTCGAATGTCTTTCTATTTGCCAAAACAAAAAAAAAATCAGTTGGCTCCCTTAAAATAAAATAAAATAAAATAAAACAGTTTGCAAAACAATAAAAAAAAGATAAATCTTTTGAATAGAAAAGATAACTTTTTTGGAATAGCGCACTATCTGGTAGTCCAATGGTTTTTCCTAACTCCACTTGCTCTTATGCTAAAGTTTTAAATTTTCAAAACAGTAGAGATGTCTTTCGGCATAACGCAGCCTTATCTTTCACTTTTGTTGTGGAAAACTTATCTTTAAACTTCATCAACTTAGAACATTTTGTTCCCTTTAAAAAAAAAAAAACCAAAAAAAAAAAAAAGGCTTTCTCTCTTCGTGGTCATGATTTCTTTTCTCTAAAAACATGAGAGAGCAACCACCACTTGATCGCCGATAGTTGATCCATTCTATCTCGTTGATTTTTTAATAAAATATATACAAAAAAAAAAACTTTCTGGCTAAAATAACAAAAAAAAAAAACTTGTGGCCTTTCTCATTTTCAAAAAAAAAAAATTCCTAAAACAAAAAAGCCAAGGAAAAACCCTTTTCTTTAGAAGTCTCTTTGTTTAACAAAAAAAAAAAAATCTTCCCTATTTTTTTGCCACTTCTGCTCAGGCCTCTGAGGCCTTTCTGTTTCTTTCCTAAAAACTGATCATTTCTTCCCCTTCCTATTCTGGTCATTTTCTTCCTTTCCTAAAAACTAATCATTTTCTTCCTTCCCCTTCCTATTTTGGTCATTTTCCTAAAAAGAGGCGCTTGATTTCTTGCTCTATTTCTTTCCATCCAAAACTTTGTTAACTTAACTTCTTATTATTTCTTGCTCATGGCCATCACGTCATTCCAGCTTTTTCCGTCCAAAACTTTGTTAACTTAACTTGTTTTTATCTCCAACTTAACTTGTTATTATCTCCCTAGGGTTCCAGCCATCTACTTTCACTTCTTAGCTTAAAAAAAGCCCTCCTATCTATTTTTTTAAAAATAAACGCACTTCTTTTAAAAAAAGCAAATTCTTCTGCTTCAAGAAAAAAAAAAGAATTTCCTTTTAAAAAAATTAAATTTGTTTTTATTAGATTAAAAAACATATCATTTTTAATAAGTCTCGTTCTTTAAAAAAAAAAAAGGCCGATTTTCCTTCAAAAATAAAAATTTCATCCTACGGAATTTTTTCATTAAAAAAAATTAGATTAAATTATTATCTTGTAATTTAGTACTTGAATTTTTTTTTAAAAAAAAATTACATTTGAGGCAATTTTGCTTTCCCAAAAAAAAAAAAAATTGGCCTTTATTTGTTCTATTTTCCTTCTTTCTTAGTTTAAAAAAAATCAAGAAAATCACTTTTTTTTTTTTTCTTAAAGTCTTTGCCATCTCCAAAAAAAAAAGTAAAAATCCTTGATCTTCTTTGGTTTGAGAAAAAAGAAATGAAAAAAAAAACAAAAATCCATCTTTCCATTCTTTTGGAGTTGATCTGCTTAATTTGTTACCTATTTTCATTTTTTTGATATTCACGGGATTTTGTTACCAATTTTAATCTTCTGTGATATTGAGATTGAGAGAAAAAAAGGAGAAGAAATGGAAAAAAGAGATTGAGAGAAAATAAGATGAAAAGATCGAAAGAGAGAGTTTTAGGGCGTGGGAGAGAGAAAAATAAAACAAATAATAATAATAATAATAATAAGCCACTACTCTTTCCAAAAAAAAAACAAAAATTAAGGTGATCTTGCTTTTTCAAAAAAATATATATTAGGCCTTTATCATTTTTGAAAAAAAAAAAAGAAAATTTCTTTTGCAATAAACTAAAAATTTCCTGAAGTCTCTTTGTTTAAAAAAAAAAAAAAAGATCATTTTTGTGAAAAATTGTTTTGTCTTTTTCAAGGTCAATCTATCTCAAAAAAAAAAAAAAAAAAAAAGAAGTGGGTGTTTGAGGCCATCTTTCTTTCCACTAAAAAAAAAAAGGTATCTTTAATTCTTTTTATTTTGAAATAAAAATTCCCTTTCTTAAAAAAAAAAATCAGCAAAGTTTTTAGGCATCTATGTCAAAAAAAAAAAAAAAAGGCTTTAAAGGTAATCTTGTTTTCAAAAAAAAAACTAAGGTATTTCTCATTTCTGAAAATTAGTCATCTTTGTCTAAAAAAAAAAAAAAGATCTTTTAAATGCAATCTTGCTTTCATAATAAAAATAAAAAATTTAAGGCATTTCTCTTTTCCTTAAAAGAAAATTTTCCTTTGAAAGAAAGAAAATGGTTAAAAAAAAAAAAATCACTTTTACTACAAAAGTTTTTTTTGTAAGTCATTTCATTTTCACAAAAAAATAAATAAATAAGAATCTTCACTTAAAAAAATCACTTTTGCCGATTCTCTCTCTTCTCATAAAAAAATAAAAAAATAAAAAAAAATTGATGGTCACCTACACTCTCTCTCTTTCTAATTATGCTCTGATCGAGTCACCATAGACTCGAAGCACGCTCAACTAGGCATGGGTTGTACCTGGTTCTACTTTACAAAATTGTGTACCTTTTTAGGGGTTGCTTACCCCTACACTTGAACTGTGCTTTGGTCGGTCAAGACTCTGACTCGAAGCGCATCTCACTCTGCACGATTTGTGCTAAGTACTCACATTTCTTGCTTTTTGTGTGTTTGCTTGCTTGCTATCTTTCTTTTCACTTACATGCTTCTTTACACACTTCTTTACACACTTCTTTGCACACAACTGATCGGGGAAGCCCGAGAACCAACAAACATTTTCGAAAACCCTAAAAATCCGGCACTAACTGTCATGAGGGGAACCTAGCGTTGAGAGCCGAGGCGGTTATGATTCGCGTAGCTTTAACTGTAAGCACCCCTCCGTCATCCTTAGCCTCAAAGCAAATCCACACATAGTAGGACTTGATTAAAATCCTATAATAGGAGGCCTGGATCAACGTGGGGACCTATTCAGCTTAGCCACATTTCAATTGTTAGGAACCCACTCCAACGGAGCCTACCCATAGTTTAGGATAAAATTTTTCGAGTGTTGTGTTTGCGTATCTCAATTAATTAGTATTAGATCTTAGTCCGGGTCTGATTCTAGCCCGAGCTGAACCCTATTGGGTTTGAGTCCATGCTCATACTCAGCCCAAACCAGGTCCAAACCAGGTTCACACCCAACTTCCAACCTTGGTCCCTTTTTGGTCTGAGCCAAGACTCACGCCAAATCTCACCTCAACCTTAGTCCAGGTCCACACTCAATCTATATTTGAGACCTTCTGGGTCCAAGTCCAGGCTTGTACCCAGTCTAGCTCAGGTCCGAACCAGGTTCACACCTAGGTCCGAACCTAGGCCCCCTTTTGATCTGATCCAAGGGCTCGTGCCTAACCCAACCTTGATCCAGTGTGGGTCCACACTCGGTCTAATTTTCAAAACCCTCCTGGTCCAAGCCCAGGCTTGTGCCCAGCCTAGCTTAGGTCTGAATCAGGTTTACACCCAGGTCCGAACCTAGGTCCCCTCCCGGTCTGAGCCAAGACTCATACCCATCTAGTCTAGATCTC